GCTCCGCATTCGGGTCTGGAGAAGCAGGGCCGTGTAACAGTGCGTAGCTGCACCCGGCGGCGTGGCTCCGTGCGTGAGCATCGACCTATGAACCCGGAGGCCACAGTTCACTTCCCGGTCAGGGCTCAATCCCCAGTAGAGTGTGTGCAGGAGGCAGCCGACCAATGATTCTCTCTCATCATTGATGTTTCTCTCTCTCTCCCCTCCCTTCCTCTCTGAAATCAATCTATATATATGTATAATGTGGCTTTGATCCCTGGCTTTGAGATTAGCCTAATTATGACGTTGGGCAAGGCCTTTCCTTAGGCCTCAGCATCCTCGCCTGTAGGCAGGGGAGGCATCAGGCTTCCCAGGTCCCTTCCAGCTCCACCTCTCAGGGCTCAGTCCTGTGAGCTGTGTGCTAGCTGTTCAGGTTGGTTGAATTCAGTGAGACTATGGAAAGATTTGGTTTTCTTTTCCTCTTAGCTGCTTCTCTGCTATTCTCTCTGAGCTTGTATCCTTTTTTTTTTAAATCACCTTTTATTGTAAATAAATGACCGAGCCTATATTGGTCATTTACTTGAGGAATCTTTATTATAATTATGTGTGGATGTGATTGTATTCATTTTGCTAGAATTAGGATGGATTTAAAACACTTCTTTAAAAATCCTCTCCCAAGGATATGTTTTTACTGATTTGAGAGAGAGAGGAAGGGAGAGGGAGGGAGAGACAGAAACATCAATGTGAGAGAGAAACATCGTTTGGTTGCCTCACACACACACCGACCGGGATCAAACCCACAACGTTTGGAGTCAGGACGGTGCTCCAACCACCTGAGCCGTGAGGCCAGGGTGGGTCAGAAACACTTATCAGTAAATGGGAAACGGAAAGCGTGAGTGCTTATCTCCAAAGAGCTTTCGGAGCCTCGGGCAGTTCTCTGTAGACATTGGAACACACGCGTACAAGTGCACAAAGCTCCAGTGAAGCGCAGTCTGAGCTGCGGGAAGCCTTGCGGAGGGCGCGTAAGGGTCAGGGGTACAGAGGCTGGCGTTGGTAAGTGTCCTCCGGCCTCTGGAAATTACATATGACAGTTGAACTCTAAGGCGTGTGGCAGCACTTCTTCAGCCTCACAGCATGGCTTGGAGTTAGTAGGACTTTGGAATTTTAATCGTGTTTTAAATTAATTTTTAAAGGGAGAGAGAGAGAGAGAGAGAAACATCGTTTGTTATTCCACCTACTTATGCGTTCATTGGTTGATTTCTTGTATGTGCCCTGACCGGGGAGCAAGCCCTCAGCCTTTCTGTATGGGGATGACGCTTTAACGAGCCACGCTCCCGCCCATGGTGAAGCTTTAGTGGTACTGCAGCTGTCAGCAGTTCTCGATGTCATGTAGCGGCTGCTCGCAATGCGAGGACAGTAAATAAGCATTTTCAGCTCCCGTCTCTAGGCCAGGGCTGTCCCACTGGCCTGGAACAGGGTGCCGCCGCCGGCACCAACCTGTGTGGTTACAAGTGTTGGGGGAAGAGCATAATCTTGACCCAGTTCACACCGCACTTAGACCCTGAGGGATACGCGGCCTTTGATGGAGCGCGTTTGGAGGGGGCATCCTCGGCTCCCGCCCCAGGGCTGGCTGGTAACCTGGTCTCTCTCTCCTCTGCAGGCTGTGTACTACTGAAGCGTGGCCCTGCTCAGCCCCCTCGCTGCCCCCACCGAATCATTCCTCTGTGAAGTAGTTCATGAAGCCATAGGTTTAGCATCCTACCAAATGGAAAGAGAACACGCAGCCCTGTACTCCACCCTGACGTCATTGCCAAGCGCCACGAATGCAACTTGCATTTCAGCCAAATCCCAGCATTCCCCCCTGAGGACACTCAGAACCCACTCTCGACTGTGCTTCCCGGGTTGGGGCCGGGGAAGGAGAATGTCTGGAGCTACCCCTGCATCCCCTGGGAGCTCGGAGGAGCCTCAGGCCCGCCCAGGACCGCCTACCCCCATTCATGGGACATGGGACACCCCGCCCTGTCCCTGCTGTTGCCTCCATCACTCTGGAAACTTTCAAGAGTTCAGTCCGGAGAGATGAGGATGGATTTTCCCCGGCTCTAGAACTCGGGGAGAGGGGTCCCTGTCCCTTGTTCACCCCTTGGGACTTGTGGACCTGACCTCCACGAGTTGGCCCGCCCATCAGACCAGTGGTGCTCCTCCGTTCTTGTCCATTCACCGTCCTGCCTTGTGTTTGGTTGTGGCATCTCTTGTCCCTGCCACGGAGGCTTATTGTGACGGTAACCCCGAAGCATCCTGTGAACCCTAGGACTTCCGGGAAGACAGTGCCCGTTTCATTCGGGTGTCACCTGTCACTCTCACGGTGTAGGCGTTACAGATCCTACATCTTGCAAAACCTAACTGGCATTTTCAAACGTAGTAGTAGGAGTGCTGTACTTACAATCCTTACCCTCTGTCAGGGCCCTGACATTGCAAGTTAGTGGTTTTCCAGGGGCAGATCTTTACGTTGTTTATTCTCTAGCAACAATGCAAGGAAGTTTCACTTCTTTAAGCTGCAGAGAGGCCCCTTGTGGGGAACCCATTTCCTGTCTGTGGGGGACAAGAGGCCTTGGATGCTCAGGGCCTTGGGGTGGTCCTTTGGAGAAACCTGCAGGAGGACTCGACACCGTAGCAGTTGGCCAGGCTGAGGGGATGGAGGGCCAAGCAGCCGCCCGCTGGGGAATGTGCTCAAGAGGAGCCCAGAGGAGAGCGGGCTCCCCGTGGGGCCTGCTGGGGACTGGCGGCCTGAGCCCACCTTCCCCCAATTTGAAACAGACTCCGCCCACCCGACGAGAGAATGTAATTCACTATGGAATGTGTAATCTGCTTTGTTGGGTGAGTTCGTTCCTTGAAGACGGTCTGAAGTATGTCTTTATCACAGAATGAGGCGTCAGGAATTCATCACTACACTGGTTTAGGAAAAAGCTGCTTAAACTGTAACTATAGAATAATCATAATTTCAAAATGGCATTTTCATTTAGTAAATTGTAATTATAATTTCTAGTTAAACTAAATTATTGGCTTGTCTACTAGTACATTCCGCTTCAAAATAAACCATTATATTTGATGAAATGGTATGATTTCCATAACATTCTTAGAGTGGAACCTCAGACATGATCTTTGGGCAGAATTCTTTGATCATACATTTTCTCCAACGATAAGTACGTATTTTGTCTTTCCCGAAGGCGGTGTCTCTGCTTCCTCTAAGCCATGCAGCGCCTCGTTAACTTCTAGCTGAGGAGGCTTTCTGCCCTTTGTAGTTTGGTTTTTGTTGGTTTTTTTTGTTTTGTTTTTTAAATATATATTTTACTGATTTTTTACAGAGAGGAAGAGAGAGGGATAGAGAGTTAGAAACATTGATGAGAGAGAAACATCGATCAGCTGCCTCCTGCACACCCCCTACTGAGGATGTGCCCGCAACCCAGGCACATGCCCTTGGCCGGAGTCGAACCTGGGACCTTTCAGTCCACAGGCTGATGCTCGATCCACTGAGCCAAACCAGCTAGGGCTGGTTTTTGTTTTTTAAAATACCTTCGTAGTAAACAGTTTTTTTCCAACTACATCCTCTGGGCTGTTGTAATTTATAATAAATGGATATGGTCTCTGTCCCTATTCCTGCCCCAGATTTCCTAAGTGATGAGAGTGACTAAGGCATCTTGTTAATGTTAATGGTAAGGGTTTTCGGACAGGGCCCGAGGATGAGGGATGGGAGACGGTTGCCAAGGAAACCAGCCCCACCCCCTTTCCCTGCTCTGTGCCTGTGCACCTCCCATCTGGCTGCCCCCGAGTTACATTTTTTAATCAACTGGTCATCCAGTCAGTAAAGTATCCCTGCGAGTGAGTCCCTGGGCCACTCTGACAAGTTAATTGGCCTGCGGAGGGGTCATTGGAACCTCCCATCTGTGCTGGTTGGTCAGGTGACACCTGGACTTGTGTTCAGAGCCTGAAGTTGCCCGGGGGGGGGGGGGGGGTGGCGTCTCTTGTGGGACCCAGTCCCTAACCTGTGGGAGCTGATGCTGTGTCCAGGTGCATAGTCAGAACTCAGTTAAGTAGTGGGACATCAGCGGTGCCAGAAATGCTCGGTGGCCGGGAAGGAAACCTCAGAACTGGTGTCACATCTTACCCTCCGATCCCCATTTGCTGGTAAGCGCGTTCAGAGGCCACGAATCCCACCGGCTTCACACAAAAGGTCCCACACCGACCCGCCTCCCGGCTGTCGGAGACACCAGTGTATTGAGTGCCCACGGCCGGAAGGGCCTTCCAGGTGCCCGTGTTTCCACGGCTCGTCAGGCTGTGGGCCGTTCCCTCCTCGCCCGGGAACCCCGGACACGGTTGGAGAGCCAGTGGCATTACCTCGCCACGCTCTGCACCTGGTGCGTGACAGGTGCTAAACGCTCGCGAACAAAAGGCATTTGTGTCAGACAAGGGTGTAGGCTTGCCCTCCTGTGGGCTGGAGGCTGGGTGTGTGGGCGCTGCGAACAGGAGACTGATTCATAGCACGTTGGCCTTTAACACAGGGAGCTAGACTCTGCGTCCTTTTCTCTGTCCTTGATCAGCCATCCGGTTGGTGTGTGAGTGTTTATAGCCGCTGATGCTGAGGGACTGGCCATGGAGGCCGGCCTGCCTCTGCCCTCTGCCCTCTGCCCTCTGCCCTCGGTGGCGGTGTGTGTGCGGCTGAGACAGCAAGGAGCCCGCAGGTGTTCCCCGGGCTCAGAATTCAGGCCAATACTGAGTTCCTCCTGCAGCAAAGTGAGCTGGGCTGGCGCCCTCATGTCATCACTACAGGAAGAACGAGTTTCTCAAGCTCTCTGACAAGTGAAACGCCAGTGGGATGGGGGTTGGGGGAAGGTGGGGGAGAGGTTACGGACAGCCAGCCTCACTGCCGGTGGGGCGTGGGGCAGGCAACAGGCGTGGTCTCGGCCCACTGGCCCCTTTTCCAGAGCTTCGCGAAGGCTGCGGACAGACTGGGCCGAAGACGGGGCTAGGAAATGCATACTTTTTAATGTGATGGTGTTTGTTTTGCTTTGAAATGTCCAATTGGAAGCCGTTTGCATTATTGAGTAAGTGGCGATCCCAGGAGCCTCGCCTTCCAGTTGCGGGTAGAGAGAGAGAGCCATTTACCACAACACAATCTGCGCAAGTCAGACCTGTCGCCCGCGCTGGGCCCTCTGGGGGAGGGGCGGTGTGGTCTCGCACTGCCTCCGTGGAGCTTGGCTGTGCCGTGGGGCAGCCTCTCAGCGTCCGTCCTCAGCGCGCCGCTCGGCTAGTGCCTGGAGGCCAGGAGGCTGACCACGAGCCCAGCGGTCAGAGTGGCCGACGCGGCCCCCAGAGCAGCCCCGCGGCGGAGGGCCAGCTGCCTCCCCGACAGCCCGCTGGGAGGAGCCGGGAGCGCCAGGGCTGCGTCTGGAGTCCTGAAGTGGTCTGCGTGGCACCCGGGGCTCGAGAACATCGTCAGGGAGACGCCAGGGCAGGTGCCTGTGGCCACTGCGGAGCAAAGGGGAGCAGCTCAGCGACCCCAGGCCGGGGAGGGTGGAGGGGGGAGCCTGGCTGTGCCCATCTGCCTCAGGACCCGCTGACTGAGCTCAGCCCCCACGGGGGGGGGGGGGGTGCGGGGGGGCACCGGAGGGGACCTGCGGGGAAAGCGCTGTCAGCTGATTTTACGCACAGATAACGTTGCCACAGAGGTCAGGGACGGCGTGTCCGGGGCTGAGCCTGCCTTTGTCATGACAGGGCCCTCACAGTGGTTTCGAGTGCGTGTGACCTGCCTTGTGGATCATGCGCCCAGGCTGCGGTGCGGCCACTGTGCCAGCTGGGGCTCAGCATGGCCGGGGCAGGAGCCTGTGCCCTGAGCAGGGCCATCGTTCCACCACAGACACCGGGTGTAAACAGAGGTGCCCGCCTCCGGTGCGGTGCAGGGAGGTAGGTGGGCAGTGCCCGCTCCAGGTAGCGAGCCAGGCAGACCTGCCCCCGCCAACAGGACAGCCGTGGGCCAGGGTGCAGCCTTCTGCCCTGAGCGGAGGGGGCGCTATGACCGCCCTCTCGGGCCTCACCTCTTTCCTTTGCCAGTGGAGGGACAGCGAGGAGGAGACCTAGCTCCCAGCCCTGCTTCCCGGCTCACGGCCTCACACGGCGGAGGACACGTGTGTGAATGTGTCTTCTGGGGCTCAGACATCCTGTCCCACGGAGAGCCCTGGGCTTGCCTGGTTCCAGCCGCCCGACAGGGCAGCCGCTGGCCTTTGTGTCTGAGCCCAGCAGAAGCGCCTCCAGCATTACCTGCAGACCCGGCCCCTTCCTCGGGCCCGGCTCTGGGGGCCCCACTCTCAGGGTACTCGGTGCCCTGCTGCCGTAGCCCTGCGTACTTCTCAGCCTGCAGGAGAGAGCCTGTGGGTCAGCCTGCCAGCCCTCCAGCACCAGGAGCTGGACCCCAAATCAGGAGCTCCCACTTCCCCCCCACCCCGACCTCTGTGCTGGGACTGCGCTCTGCTTCCCTCCCTGCTCCAGCTGCCCCAGAGCGCAGCCCTGCAGAGAGGAGGGGGAGCGGACCGCGCAGGAGTGGTGGACCGGGTCCGGCTGACCGGTCAGGGCTTCTATGTCAACGGTGAAGATCCTGGCGGGGGTGCAGCGGTGCTGGTCTGGGTGCCGCCTCAGGCAGCCTCACGTCCTGCTGGGTAAGCCTCACCCACCTGCCTGCCTGCGGGGCGGCTCCCTGCCTGCCTGCGGGGCGGCAGGCCTCCCTGGCCGGCCTGTGGCACCGGCCGCTGAGGCCGCACACGCTCGGGGTGGGGCAGGCCTTAAATGGTGCTGCTTTACATCCGTGCTGCCATCGTCCTACATGCCAAGATGACTCGCTCCCCACACGAGGGCACAACCGCACCCCTGGGGTCCAGGGGCTTGGAGAGGACACCCTTCCTGCTCTGCCCGCGGGCTGGCCTGCACGCGACGGTGGACAGGATCTATGACGGCTCGCCCGGCGGGCGCACGCAGGCTCAGGCAGTTGCACTAGCCCTTTGCCTGGGGTTCGGCGGCCGGCTGGCCGAGGGGGCTTTCAGGGGTGCGCGTCTCTCTAATCGGAGCGTGAGCTGCTGCCATAGCCCCATCTGGGCTCCATCACAGGACAGAACAGGTGGGTCCGCTGAGGCCCCACGAAGCAGGTGCCGGGGCCGCTCCGGGGGGCATCACTTCACCGGGCTGGCCGGGCGAGCATGTCCCCAGGCCGGCGGCAGACTCACCTCCTCCGCAGCCAGCGCCCAGTCCATCCGCGCAGTGTAGGCGGCTAAGGCAGCCGCGGCCAGCACACCGCAGACCAGCATGCCCAGCCAGAGGCCTGTGGGCACAGTGACAATGGGCACGTGTCCAGCGCCCGCCCCGCCCTCTCCCTCCTCCTCCCCACATACCCATGGTTCTCATTCTGACCACAAAGGCCAGAACGATGCCCAGTGGGAGGCCGATGGCGTAGTAGGCGATGGCATTCACCAAGGCTCCGAAGGCCTGCCGGCCGGTTCCTCTCAGGACTCCACCGTAGACACACTGGGCGGGAGCAGAGGGGCGGTGAGCAGGGACGGGGCGGAGGTGGCAGGCAGCAGGCACTTGCCAGGCGGTTTACTGAGCTCTCACTGGTGGTGCTCTCAGCCCCCTTTCCTCTGCGGAGACGGAGCCCGGGAGCCCAGGTCACGCCCCGTGTGGCACAGCGGCTGGGTCTCGGGCACAGCTCAGGGCCCGCCTTCGCCTCCACGCCTCATCGCCGCCTAGAAAGGGCTGTAAAACCCGAGACTGCCCGCCAGCTGGCCCGGAGATGGGCCTAACACTCATTCGGAGATGTGAGGTGTTCCTATTCTTGCCGTAGCAAGTCACTGCAAACTTAGAGTTAAAAACAAGACACTATTGCTTTGTAGTTGGGATTGGAAGCCTGATGGGTCTCACCACGCTGAAGTCAAGCCTGCTGCCTTCTGGGCCAGAGACAACGTCTCCGCCTTTCCCAGCTCCGGGAGCTACCTGCACCCTGGGCTCCGCCGCTCAGGCCACAGTGGCGTCGCTCCCCCTCGCTTCCCTCGTCTCCTTCTCTGGCTCGCCGCCTCCCCTTGCGTGAGGCCCCCGGGATGACGCTGGGATCTGGATAATCCAGGATCGTCTCCCCACCCAAGACCCTCGACATCGGAAAATTCCCAGGTCCCAGGATGAGCACGTGATACTCCTACGGGCCGGGCCGTCATTCTGCCCTCCGCCTGCAAGCGAAGGTGTGTGCTGTCCACATGAGGCAGGCAGCCGTGCCCGCTCCGGGGAGTACGGCTCCTGCTTTACTTCCTGGCCTCGTCCTCCCGAGGGACCCGGAGCTAATGAGCTGAGGAAGCGCAGGCACCGCTCACGCTGGTCAGCACTCAGTCGCTGGTGCTTGGTTATTTTTACTTTGTTAAGATGAGGGCTGTGGAGTATGTGGTGGCTGCTACACACTTGAGCAGAGAGGTCATGCCCTGGGGACAGGAGGTGCTGCCTCTTGAGCTTTGAAATATGTGCACACATTGCTCATTGTTATATATCAAGATATAGAAGATGATACTTTTGATTAAGAAAAAGACGTCTCCAAAATTATGCTCGATATGCTCTGGACCAGTATGTCTCAACCTGGGCGGTTTGCCTCCTGGAAGTGTTTGGCAATGGCTTTGATTGTCACAACTGGAGGCCGGGAGGGCGGGGGTGGGGGGGGGTGGGGGGGGGCGGGTGTGCTCCTGGCATCTAGTGGGTTGAGGCCAGGGATGCTGCTGAACATCCTCCAGTGCCCAGGGCAGCCCTCCTGCAACAAGGAATGGTCAGGAGGGCCAAGCTCGAGAGGCCTTCAGAACACAATGCCGTGGCAGGCAGTGCACAGGAGGACCGGCGGCTGCGGGTCTGCCTCGGAGAAGCAATGGGCTGGTGGACTCAGTAGCGAGCTCCAAGAGCTGAGATAGGCGGGAGAGCTGGCTCAGTTCTCCACGTACCCCACGGTGGCTGGAGGCTGAGCGTGTGTGGAGCAGAGGTGAGCAGACCCGTGCCACCCACACCTCCCAGACAGTGGAGCCTGGGCATGGACAGAAGAGACACAAGAGGACCCAGAAGGACGTCAACACTGAGCAGACTTACAAACAGCCTGAGTGTGCCCCAGCCCACACTTGGATCCTCCAGCAGGAAATGGGAGCCTTACCAATGGTCAGAGGTATCTGACCACAATTTCCAATCGGTGATTGGCTGGCCACTGAGCTATGCAAACAGGGAAGTGACCCTTAGGAAGCTAAGCTTAAAAATAAACAAGACACACACACGCACACAAAACTAAGCAGAGATATCAGCTGCAGGTTGTGGAGGCAGGATTCACAGAAATAGTGCAGGCAAGTTACTAAACAGAACAACAGGCCTTGGGGAGAAGTCACACATGACAAGCTCCAGGATGGGCCTATGCTAGGCCACAAAGCAGGTCACAGTACATTTTAAAATATTGAATTCATATAAAATATGTTCTCTGGCCATAACAGAGTGAAATTAGAGATGCCTACCAGAAAGAACCTGGAAACAACCCAAATATTGAGAAAGTAACACACTTCTAAACTCAGGAGTCAACAACTCACAAGAGGGATTTTAAATATTTTAAACTGAAGGAAAAGGAAAACAACATACCCAAGCCTGTTAGGTGCAGCGGAAGCAGTGCCTGCAGGGGGCTGTGTGGCTGTGAATGCCTAGGTCAGGAGAGAGGAGGAGCTCCGCCAATAGCCTAGCGTTCCACCCGCCGAAGCCAGTGAGGAGAGCAAACTGTTCCAAGGAGCAGAAGGTGGTGTGACCACGGTCAGCGTGAGGTCAACGGAACCAAACAGCCCACTTCCTTGATGAGATCCGCAAAACTGGCCAACACCAAGGAGTCGACGTTGGTAAATAAGACCAAGCAAATAGCAGAGTGAAGCCACAAGTTACCAAGATCAAGAATGAAAGAAGGGGCGTTGCTCCTGGCTATAAAGAAAGGATTATAAGGGAATACTATGAGCAACTTCATGCCAAAGAATTAGCTTAGTTGAAGTGAATACATTCTTAGAAAAACAAATTACCAAAACTAACTCAATAATAGAAGGGAAATATACCTATAACAAGTCAATAAGTTGAATTACTTTAAAATCTTCTGACAAAGCTCAGGCCCAGATGGTATCATTGGTGAATTCTATCAAATATTTAGAGGAGAAGCAATGCCAATCCTTCACAAACTCAAAAAGTGTAAGAGTAGAGAACACTTCCAAAATCCTTCTATGAGACCAATGTCACCCTCACACCAAAGCCAGGTCAGGATATTACAGGGAAAAGATAAAAATTACTGACGAGCACTGGCCGGGCGGCACAGCTGGTTGGCGCATTGTCCTACACAACAAAGGTTGCAGGTTTGATTCCCGGTCAGGGCACATGCCTCCGCTGCAGGTACGATCCCCAGTTGGAGCACGTATGGGAGGCAACTGATGGATTTTTTCTCTCACATTGATCTCTCTGTCTCTTCCTCTCTCTAAAAAAAAACAATAAAAACATATCCTTGGGTAAGGATTACAAGTATAATAAATAGAAAATTTAAAATTACAGGCGAATATTCCTCATGAATATAGATGTAAAATCTTTTAACGAAATATTAGCAAGCCAAATGCAGCAATATATAGAAAAGATATACACCATGATCTGGGGGCGGGGGGGGCGTCTATCCTAGGAATGCAAGGTACGACATTTGAAAATCAGATCATGTAATTATACCACATGAACAGAACAAAAACCATAGGATTATCCCAATAGATACAGAACAACATCCTTCAAACCCATGAGAAAATGTTTCAATGCAGTAGGAGTAGAAGGGCTCTTCCTTACCCTGGTAAAGGGTGTTTGTAAAAACCCTATAGGTAACATATTTGATGCTGAAAGACTGAATACTTCCCCCAGCATTGGGCACAAGGCACAGATGAAAGATCTTTCCACGTCTACTCAATATTGTCCTGAGATTCTAACCAGATGAAAAGGAAAAAGTAAAACTCTTTATTCACAGATGACACGATCCTATATGTAGGAAATCTTAAGGAATCCACATACGAAAAATGACTAAAATGAATTTAACCAGGTCACAGGATAAAAGATCAATAAACAAAATCCCTTCACTGTAAACTCTCCGTTGGCGATAGTTTGACTTCTTTCCTGCATGAAACCAAGAGCCCACAGTGAGTGGTGGACCCTTGGGCCCCCAACCCCGGGGTGCCTGCATCACAGCCACTTCGGGAAACAGTCTGGCAGTTTCTTAGAAATTCAAACATAAACTTATTATTCAACCAAACAATTCAAGTCCTAGGACTGTACCAAGAGAAATGAAACCATACGTTCACACAGAGACTTGTATGAGAATGTTCCCAGCAGCCTTAGTCATTATAGCCAAAACCAGAAACAACCCGGGAGCCCACTCCCTGGTGACTGGTAGGCAAAATGTGCTACTCCCGCACAATGGACTATTACTGGGTCACAAAAAGGAATGAAGTCCTGAAAAAGTACTACAACATGGATAAACCTCAAAACGTCACCCTAAGTTAAAAAGGCAGCCACAAAAGACGACCTATGTTCCATTTACATGAGCTGTTCATAAAAGGCAAAGTTCACACACATATGGAAAGCACCTCAGTGGGTGCCTGGGGCCGGCCAGGGGCGGGGATTGACTGTGAAACAGGCCCCCGGAAATTTGGGGGTGATGGACAGATTCTGAAACTGGATTACTGTGATGGTTGACAACTCTACATTTACTTAAAATCATTCAACTATTCACTGAAAGTGTGTGAATTTTATGGTATGTGATTATAATTCAATAAAAGTATAAAAACAAAAATAATGTCCATGGAAAACATAAATGAAGAACAATGTCAACATAGCCGGGAGGAAAGGCCCCTCGCAATTGCTAGTTGCAAAGTTGTGTACAAGTTCCCTGCGGTGAACGTGAGCGGAGAAGCGCTGCCTGGGAGGGAGGCAGGCCAACTCCCCGAAGCAGGGCTCTCCACCACTGCCAGCATCAGGAGGAGCACTGTGACCAGTACCCCTAACAGCACCTCTGACCCCCACAAGGTAGTTCCCCTTCATGGTCCATGATAAAAGCTACAGATAGGACGACAGAACACAGCCCGGAGGACGCGTGCTGCGGGGGCCGACGGTGCTATGTGTGTGCTCTCTGAACGCCCAGCCAGACTCAAAGGGAAGTCCCAGGGCGTAGCAGCGGGGCAGTGAGCGCTGGGCCCTGGGAACCCCCAACACCCCGCCCCCCTACCGCAAACCAGCTCTCCCGGGGTGGATTCCGGAGCTGGGCTCTGCGCTGCTGGGCTCGCCTAACTCAGTTGGCAAGGGGAGACACAGGGTTCCTACTCCTGCTTGGGAATGAGCCCGCAGTGCTCTCCTCTTCCACGCCGTGCTTTTTCAACCCCCCAGAGTTCAAATCTGTGCTCAATGGAACCTCCCTTTAGTGGGCAAAGGAGAGAAAATTCCAGTCCCTCTGCATTCGGGATTGACCCCCGCCCTCCCAGAGATGTCCCTTCGCACTGGCTACAGGTGTGGTTGCCGTCGAGCTCCTGGCCAGGCAGGGCCCAGGTCAGTGCCTGTGGCCCCGGCTCAGGGGAACGAGGACGGACAAAGATCTGTGCGCTTACGCTGGTGCAACTTTTCAGTTTTGCTCACCTGCATTCATCGTTTGGCTTGTTGGAGTTTCGGGAGGCAAGGGGGCCATTGTTTTGAATAAAAATAGACCTACTATGAGTAAATACTCTGGGCACTGACTGTACAGGTAGCCCTCTCCATGCAGCGATACATAGAGAGGCCCCGGGGAGGGCGGCACAGCGGTACTCACACAGATGGCCTCAAACAGCTGGAAGACGATGTAAATGGGCATGACCTTGTTCACCAGGGCGATGACCTCCCTGCAGGGGAAGCAGGAGCGAACCTTCGATGGGAGCACTGAGACAGGACTTATTCTGAGACCTCCCTCTCTTACACCTCCTCCCAACATGGTCACCCATGAAACCCAGCTCCCCTGGCCCGAGTCTCCATGTCTGTGGGTCTCTGGACAGGCAAGTGGCAGAGGCCAGGCCTGGGGGAACGGGCCCAGTGCTGGCGTCTCTCTGTGAGGGCAAAGCCAGGCTTGTGACAGCCCCTGTGACGTTTCCCAGAAGTCGGTGAAGAAAACCGATTACCTACTCATCATTGGTGAAGATATAACCCAGGTTGTTTTTCAGGAGGCTCAGCAGGGCGCCGATAACCAGCGAGGTGCCAACTGAAAGAGACGGAGGAAGAGCATTCGGCTAAACAGCCCATGGCGAGTCCAGCCGGTCGGCACAGGTCAGCCCAGCCCCCACACCAGGGCCTCACGTCCTGCATTAGAGCCAGTCACTGGGACTGGGACATTATTTTGCTGCCCTGTAGGAAGGACAACATATAAAATGCCTTTCCCGTGGTTCTCCAAGTGGGGTTCCTGGGCCAGCAGCATCAGGATTGCCTGGTCACGTGCTGGAAATGCCGATTCTCAGACCCCCATCTCTATCCTGCGAGCCAGCATCTGCCCGGGGAGGCCAGGGACCTGTGCTGTGGGCGGCCTCTAGGGAGTGGTGGGCAAACTGCGGCTCGGCAAACCGCGGCTCGCGAGACACATGCGGCTCTTTGGCCCCTTGAGTGTGGCTCTTCCACAAAATGCCGGCTCTTCCACAAAATACCGACTTTTGCACATGGGCCACGAAGTTTCAATCACGCTGTATGTGCGCGCCTGCACGTGGTATTTTGTGGAAGAGCCACCCTCAAGGGGCCAAAGAGCTGCATGTGGCTCGAGAGCCACGGTTTGCCGACCACGGCTCTAGGGGATCCAGTGCCACCTGAAGCCCGAGCACCCTGCTCTCCGCAGAGGAGCTGATCTGAACCTGTCGGCCCAGAGCCGAGCCCGGTGAGGACAGCAGGTTGGTTCCTTCTGAGGGCTGGCCTGGGCGGCCCCGCTCCTGGGGGTGCTGGAGGGCAAGCCTGCAGAGCTCCCTGGGCAGCCGGAGGGAAACGCCTGGGGAGGGTCACACTAAGGTGTGTGGTGGCAAGCTGCCCCCAGAAGGCCCGGAGCCCAGCAGAGGGGTGGGGAAGGAGTGCAGCAGGCTAGAGTGGGGCTGAGGTACCGTCCACGTATCAGCCAGGGCTGCTCTGGGCCCGACACAGGTGTAGCCGGTGGAATAGGCCTGGCCGCTCCATGGCAGCCCTGCCGCCAGCACCCAGGCCTCCCCGGCCCAGGCCCTTGGCCCCCCCAGCTTGCCAAGTCCCCCCACCTGTGCAGAGCACGCCTGAGACGGCGGATCGCTGGGCTTGCACGGTGTCTGCAGCTCCCAGGGACGTCCCTACTCGGACGCAGACAGAGATGCTGAGCCCCATGGGAATCTGGGATCAAGATAAGAAGGTGCTGTCAGTGGAGCCAGCCTGGGCCCTGGGATGGGGTGGCTGGCTGTGAAGCAGCCCCCCCGCCTCGGGCCGAGGAGGAGCAGCAAGGCTGGGTGGATCCCAGGCAGGCAGCGTGAGAAGAGCTGCTGCAAACAGGCGGTGGCCTCTGATGCTGGGCGATGGGGTGGGGATAGTGAGCCGGCAATCGCCGCCCCATCCACCCCATCAAACGTCACAGGCAGACGGGCCTTGCAGTCAAACTCACTGTGTTCCCCAAACTCATGAGAAAGTGCATGTTTAAATGGCCCTAAGTTGCCAGGAAAGCTCCCTGGAGGAAAAAAATGTTTCCGTAAAAACCATCTGTAAAAATAAGAATCACCTTATAAGTTAGTTTTGTAAGTGTAGGTTTTTATGACCCTTTGCTAAGCCTGCGGTCACAGCCTGCATGCCCAGGAGCCTGGCGGGTTCGCGCATGAGTGACACGGACAGCCATGTCTCTAGACTCTAGAGAAAGGAGGGACCCTGTCGGAGAAGAGGATCCCCCGGGACTCTGTCACCCAGTTCTCTCTAAGGCAGCGGTTCTCAACCTTGGGTCACGACCTCTTTGGTGGTCAAACGACCCTTTCACAGGGATCACCTAAGACCATCCTGCATATCAGATATTTACATTACGATTCATAACAGTAGCAACATTACAGTTATGAAGTAGCAACGAAAACAATTTTATGGTTGGGTCACAACATAAGGAACTGTATTTAAAGGGCCAGAAGGTTGAGAACCACTGCTTTAAGGGGTGCAGGGATATGGGCCCAATGCTAAATGGAAAATGCAGAAATCCAGATTAGGTGTAAAATCTCCTCATTTTAAAATGGTGTTAATTAGAAAAGAATTCTTCTACCACCAGGTGAGTTCAGTGTCAGCCCCAGGGTGGCTGGGGTTGTCTGTGTGTGAGTCTGGCAGAGCCTCGACCTGACGGGCATGGGGAGTCCGGGAGGGCCCCTTGGGACAGAGTGACAGCCTGCTCCCTCCTGTGCCGCCCCAGGACAATGGGGGTGCTGGTCGGGCAGAGGGCACTCACCATGTAGGTGACGGTAGCCACCTCGTAGATGACGGCCTGGGCAGAGAGATCCACCATGCTCAGCAGGCCTGCAGAGGGGAGGGGGCATGAGCAGGCCTGCAGAGGGGAGGGGGGATGAGTAGGCCTGCAGAGGGGAGGGGGGGTGAGCAGGCCTGCAGAGGGGAGGGGGGGTGAGCAGGCCTGCAGAGGGGAGGGGGGATGAGCAGGCCTGCAGAGGGGAGGGGGGGTGAGCAGGCCTGCAGAGGGGAGGGGGGATGAGCAGACCTGCAGAGGGGAGGGGGGGTGAGCAGGCCTGCAGAGGGGAGGGGGGGTGAGCAGGCCTGCAGAGGGGAGGGGGGGTGAGCAGGGGGAGGGGGGTGAGCAGGCCTGCAGAGGGGAGGGGGGATGAGCAGGCCTGCAGAGGGGAGGGGGGATGAGCAGGCCTGGGCCAGCCCGGAGGCCCTGGGCTGACGGGCACCCTCTGCTTTGGGGTAAGTGGCTTTGAAGGGCAAATTCACAACCAAACATGTCCTGCTGGGCCTCCAGCCTTCCAGGGAAGCCCTGCCCAGCCACGGAATTTCCTGCAGGCTGTTCCCGGGAGGGTTTGGCTTGCGAGCTGAATGCGAAGCATGTGGCCTGGTGTGCAAAGACAACTGGGCCACAACCCGCATGCCAGGAGCCTGGTGGGCTCGCACATGAGTGACAGACCAGGAACCCCAGCTGGGCAGCGGAGCAGCTCTGGACAGCGCTCTGTGCCGGGCCTGGCTTCCTGGCTGTCCATGGGGGAGGGCCGCCTGGAAGGTCCTGGGCGAGTGCAGCCCGGCCCGGCTCTCAGGCAGTTTGGACTCCGTGCTGAGTGCTCAGGGGAGAGCCACGCCGCCAGCCCACGCGCACTCGCGCACCATCCATTCCACCTCCCACTCGCTCGTGACTCGCCACCTGCACTGGGTGCCCACTCGGTGCCAGGGCAGTGCTGGCATCCACCACAGAAGGCCAGGCCTGCCCCCAGGAGCTCACAGACTGAGGGGAGACAGTGCACCACCGACCTGGCCTGGGCGACGGGCCAGCTACCTGTCAGGGAGGGGCTTCTGAGCTGGGTGAGCCGCCCACGGGGTCCCCCACCCCCACCCCTGCCCCCGCCCCCGCCCTTCCACATACCCATGAGGAAGCTGCCGATCTCGTAGGCCCACCACTCGATGCATATCATGAGCATGCTGGGGAGGGCCAGGGAGAAGAAGGGGCCCCAGTCCTGCAGGCACTGCACGGACCAGCCTAGGAGCAGAGGCCTGAGCTGAGCAGCCGCCCTGCGTGCCCCCTGCCAGGCCCCGACGGCCATGGGCTCTGCCCACGTGGCATCTTACACAGGGCCTGCGGCTGGCCCAGTGCTGGTGGGGGCTTGGAAAAGGGCGTGGAGACAGGGCACCCTCCACCTGGCCAGGGCCAGCGGGGGGGGGGGGGGGGGAGCCCCGGGTGCGGGCGGGTGTCCGCTCCATCTGTGATACCACAGGATCTAGGGCAAGTGCCCTGCCCTTCTGGGCTCTGCCTGCTCATCCGGAGATTTCCGTCCTTATCTTTGCCCTGCTTCCCAGAAGGGTCAGGGGAGGGCGGCATGACTGAGGCCAGAGGATGAGCCCTAGGGCCGTGCGGACATGGGAGGGGACACCCTGGCCTGGATGAGGCCCGGGCCTGAGCTGGGCCTGAAATGCCTGGAGACGGAGCCCGCAGGCTGCCGTCAGGTGTCAGGAGGCAGAAAGGCTCGGAACCGGGAGCCTGGGAGCGGACAGGCTTGGGTTCGAGGCCAGCCCCCACGTGCACCATCTTTGGCATTTTGGGGAAATCGCTTAGCCTCTCCGGGTCTGTTTCCTCCGTGTAAAGGGAATGGGAATAATAAGGGCCCGTAGCCGGATCAGGAGTGCAGCCGCCGGGCTGACACCGAGAATTTTGCCTGTGGCTATTACTCCTGAGTGAGACCCAGGGGCCAGTGGAAGGCTCCCTTCGCCTGACTCCTGCGGGGCTCTGCACCGTGGGCATGGGGTGAGGGGACCCCAGGACTTCAGGGTGGGAGTCCTGAGGGGTAGAGCAAGGCCCTGAAGGGAAATAGAAGCAGGTCGGGGATGGGGCTCCTCCAATGGGGCTCCAGCCGGCCCTCTGCCCGCCCAAGCAGTGCCCTGGGCCGCACAGGGGCTGAAGCAGGTGGCCCACCTGCCCACGTCTCCCGATGCAGCTTCCTCAGCACGATGTAGAGCAGCAGGAATACCGTCTGCACGAACTGGGAGAGGGTGTTGGCGTAGGCAGAGCCCCTGGGGGAGACGGCAGGGCCGGGCTGAGGCCAGCATGGCAGAGGCAGGCAGGGCTCGCTCAGGCCACCGGGACCCGCCTCGCCCTGTCTCTTTGTTGGGGCGTCCCCATCAAATTCCTCATGACCCCCCCACTTCTGGACGGTGCGAGCAGCCTCCACAGTCTTTGTCGTGGGTGAAGCAAGGATGACAACTGACCTGCCCCAGGGAGGGTGGGCACTGGGTGCGCATGTCTCCGACAGGCCCCCGAAGCCCAGCGGCCTCACCTGACCCCCAGGCTCAGCACCAAAACCAGGACGTAGTTGGCCAAGGCGTTGATGAGGTTGCCCACGAGGCCGCTGAGGACTTGGGGCCAGACGATCCCCTGGAATAAAGGAAAACCGGCCTGGCCTTGCTATGGGCTGGGCAGGACCCGGCGTGGGGGCACATGTAGGGGTGCAGAGAGGCTGGAGATTGGGCTCCCCACGGGCCCCGTACCCGAGATCAGGGCGCGCAGACTCAGACTCGGACACAGAGGGAGAGAGCCCCCGCCCCCGGGCCTGGGCAGAGCGCTAGCCACCCTCCAGCCAGGGACTTGTACCTGGTTTTGCAGGTATTTTGCCAGCAGGCTGTAAAGAAAAATCACCTGCATAAAATAAACACACCCACAGGTAAACAACCACCAAACCATGACCAGGTGAACGTTAACAGGGATTTCTTAGGGATCTGAGTTTGGGGCAATTACTTCGCCAAACTATGTGGGGGCCCCACAGGTAAGCTTCACCTGGGTGCATGCTCTGGCCCCGCCCATGGGAGAGGCCTGGGCCTCGGCCTCGGGTGACAAGCCGGCAGGGAATGTGGCTCTGAGAGCGCAGGCAGCAGGCGCCTGCCAAGGCCAAGGGCTGGCGGGTGCTGGCAGCCACCCCAGGCCTCCCACCCGCTTAGGAAGGCTGCCCAGTGGCCTGGTTCAGGACACACCAGATCCTGAATCCACAGGCGTGGCCACCTGGCATCTGGCTCTGGTTGCTGGAGACAAGAATCTGGAGGGAGTGGTGGGAGCTGAGCAAGGCTGGCCGCACCAGCAGCCTCGCTGAGCAGGTTTAAGGCCCCGTGAAGGGCAGGGCCTTTTTTCTCTGTGGAGCACAGGGGTCCGGGGCGTGTGTGTGTGCGTGTGTGTGTGTGTGTGTGCGTGTGTGTGTGTGTGTGTGTGTGTGTGTGTGTGTGTTGTCTGTGCTCTCTCTGTCCTCTGTCAAAGTCTGGCCGGGCCTGTGCCGTGTGCCCCCTCCCTTCCTTTAGCCTCTCCTCGTTGGATGTAGCACAGGGTCCCGAGCGTGGAGCTGGAACTGCACTGCGTGCGTTCAAAGACTGGCTCTCCCACTCAGGAGCCGTGTGATTCTCGGCATTACCGGCCTTTGCCTGTTTCCTCACCGGCCTGGGATCCCTAATGTGCATGCACACGCATAAGCAAGGTGATTACACAACGGTATTCGCATATTCAAGCACTCCAAATGCTAGGTAAGCATTATGTAAGTCTTATTATTGCTCACTAAACTTCGCAGCTGCGTCTTGTGGGAGGGACTTGCTTTACCTAACTCGGGAGTGTCCCTGGGATAACTCTGTGGGGTGCGTTCCCCTGCGCTGGCACATGGCCCTGTGGGACAAAATACCATCCTCCTGGTCTGAAGAGCAAAGCCCGGTATCTAGGGAAACCAGCCGTTCCACGTGGTTTCCATGATGCAAAGAAACCCGGAGCTGGCCGGGCCGGCCCAGGTCGTGCCACTGGCCTTTCAGGGTGGGGGCCGGGTTCGCCCTGCCAGGCCTGGGCGCCTGTAAAGCACTCGGAAGCCCGGTGGCCCATTCCTTCCCCGCTTTCTCCTCAAGAACATCGCCCCCTGGTGCCATGGAGGATAAAGGGGCCTGAGAGACAGGAAGACAACTCCAGCTGGCAAGGCCAACCCTGACACAGAGCTGCCAGGGAGTGACGTGTGTCACTGAGCTTCAACCCACTGAGCGTGGCCGTGGATTCCAGCGCAGTCTCTGAGGACACGCTGCCTATTTAGCTCTCAGTAAGTTCACGGAGAAGAAAGAAGGGAATAGTCAATAAGGAGTCTTAGAAAAAGTTTGTTAAATAGATTAAAGTCTTACATGTAAAAATGAAAACCATGAAGGGGTTCAAAGAGAATGTACACAAATGTTTAAATAATCTTGATATAGGTTAAGTGTTTTTAAGCTCATCAAATACAGACACTATAAGGAATAGGATGTATCGATCTGTTCCGTATACATTAAAAATTCTTTAAGTGGCCCTGGCCAGTTTTGCTAAGTGGATAGAGCATCGGCCTGCGGACTGAAGGGTCCCCGGTTCGATTCTAGTCAAGGGCACATGCTCAGGTTTCAGGCTCAATCCCCCGGTGGGGGGTGTGCAGGAGGCAGATGATCAATGATTCTCTCTCATCATTGATGTTTCTATCTCTCTCTCCATCTTCCTTCCTCTCTGAAATCAATAAAAATATATTTTAAAAAATTCTTTAAGTCAAATATATCAAAAAATTGAAAGGCAAGTGACAAACTGAAAAGTGCAACATATGTGTCAAAGGGTTAAGCTATTATTTAACAAATTATTATAATTAGAAAAAGATTAACCCATTATAATAAGCAATTCACAGAAGAAAAACAAATGATCAGCCCGGCTGGCGTGGCTCAGTGGTTGAGCATCCACCTATGAACCAGGAGGTTGCGGCTCAATTCCCAGTCAGGGCACAGGCCCGGGTTGGGTGCAGGCCTGCAGGAGGCAACCGATCAATGATTCTCTCTCATCATTAATGTTTCTCTCTCTCCCCCCCCTCTCCCTTCCTTCTTGGAATCAATAAAAATATATTTTTTAAAAAAGAAAAACAAATGATCGATAAATCCATGAAAAAATGTTTCATTTCATTGACAATAAAATACATGTTAAAACAATTTATTTCTAATTGGAAAAAATTAATAATACTCTGCTGATGAGAGTGTTGTGAGTGGGAGTAGAAATGCTACAAATTGGTATCAAAAGCTGTTGGCGGAGTAACTCCAATTCTACTAATGCATCTTAAGGAAATCATTACAAGTGTTCACTAAGTTTTTCTATAAGAATGTTTATCAAATCTTATTTATAATAATGAATATAGGGAGCAACCCAAATACCTAACATATAGGGATTGGTTAAAAAATTGTGGCACAATGAGGTACTATGTTGCCTTTGAAATGGGTGTGAAGGAAGCTGTTTAATCATATAAAGGGACTAATGACATATTTGAAAGGGAAAGAGCAGGTTATAACACAATATACACACACTGGCCTCATTTCAAACTGCATATGTGTATGTGGGTGTGAAACCACGCATCCGTGAGTAGAAATAGTCCTGGAAAGAGAACCTACGTTCTCTCTGGATGGTAGGATTATAGGTGATTTGAGATTTTTCTTCCCCAGGCTTTCTACAGTAAATGGTTTCCTAATCAGAAAAACATGTTCGGTTATTTTTAAAAGTTCAATCTGCATGGACCAGAAGGGGAACTTCTCTCGGACCCCTGCCAGCATCCTCACTGCAGTGGGAAGTCGCTGCAGGCTGATGCCTCCCAGCAGACCGGGTGAAAAGGCGAAAAGCCCGAATTTGGGAGAGAGGACGCCCACCGCCTCCAGGCTCGGCACTCACCGGAAGTGCGGGCATGAAAATCAGCACGTATTCATGGGTGAGCCTACAAGAGAACAGAAGCTCCAGAGCCGGCAGGCTGTGCCCTCCTCAGCCGGGGCACCCTGGGAACCCCGGGTTTTCAGAGAGCTCTCCCAGGCCCTGCAGGTATCAGCCAAGACCAGTGGGTGCTGCCAGAGGAGGAACCCAAGGACCAGCCACAGGGGCCTCGGGGCCAGGGGACTTGCATTTGGAGTCACGTGTGGCTTGTAAGGGGGTAAAAAAAGTTCTCTGATCAAGAACTAGCACATGAGTGCACATACTATAAAGTGAACAAGGCACTCCATGAGGGGACGTTTCTAAAATTAATGATAAACGGTGTAGTTCATCAGAAATTGGTTCAGTCCTCTTTCTCCTTTTTGGAATATGGGGTAGTGCACACTTCATTTCTTTTTTTTAATCCTCACTGAGGATATTTCTCCATTGATTTTTAGAAAGAGGGGAAAATCGATGTGAGAGAAACATTGCTTGGTTGCCTCCTCACGGGCCCTTGAGCAGAATAGAACCCGGGGCCCTTCGGTCCACAGGCCGACGCTCTATCCACTGAGCAAACCCGCTAGGGCCCCACTTGTTTCTTCAAAAAGCATCTGTGCCGTTCCAGCTGGTGCTGGGACACAAATGCAAACAACATGCAAATCCCTTATTGGCCTCTCCTCCCAGATGAAAACCTGCCGTTTGTCTGCCCCCTGCTGGTCGCAGGCAGAGCAGCATGCGGTGCGGAAGACTCCCCAGCCCTAACCTGGACCCCGCCCAAGCGGCACCTGTGTGTTTCTGACCGGGAAGCGGGGCGCCGGGAGGTGGGGGGGGGGCTCCTTTAGGGTCCCCTGCGCGGCCCCTTACCTGGACACGGCCGGGTCCTGCCGGAGCAGCAGCAGCAGGTGCTGGGTGTTGAGGAAGAGCGCCCAGCAGGGGAAGCAGCAGAGCAGCAGGATGAGCGCGCCCCGCTGCAGGATGACCCCCACGTGCTTCTTGTTGGGGCTGCCGAAGCTCTGCAACACGGCGCCGGCTCAGCGCCCGGCCGACCCGGCCTCAGGGGCACCCAGCGCCCGCAGCAACCCCCGGCCTCGGGGGCACCCAGCGCCCGCAGCGACGCCCGGCCTCGGGGGCACCCAGCGCCCGCAGCGACGCCGGGACTCGGGGGCACCCAGCGCCCGCAGCGACGCCCGGACTCGGGGGCACCCAGCGCCCGCAGCGACGCCCGGCCTCGGGGGCACCCAGCGCCCGCAGCGACGCCCGGCCTCGGGGGCACCCAGCGCCCGCAGCGACGCCCGGCCTCGGGGGCACCCAGCGCCCGCAGCGACGCCCGGCCTCGGGGGCAGACGCCGGCTGTCAGGGCCCAGGCCTCTCAGAGCTGTTCACAGAGCACCGCCCCGGTCTCGCCCCCCCCCCCCCCCCCCCACGCTGCCCCAGCCCTTCCCGAGCGCTATTTCCCCTCGCGGCCCAGGCCGGGGGCTGGAGAGCATTCGCCAAGTCACCTGCTAGTAAGTGGCAGCAGGGCCCAACCCAGGTCCCCAGGTCCACCCAAAGCCCAGAACTCGGGTCCCCGAGGCTGGGCGCCCTCAAAATCTGACACACGAGCAGGGACCCTCTCCACCCCTTCCTGCCAGGCTCGCTGACCGGCCCGGCTTCGGGGAGGTCTGTGCTCCTGGCAGCACTCGGTCCTTAGGCAGCAGGTGGGGGGAGGCAGCTGCCCCACCGGGTCTGCTTGACAGGCTCCCACTCCAGGGATTACCGAGGAGCCTTTGGGGGTCCCCACCCCGCTTTGGGCAGCGTGGAGGGACGGCTCTGCCCTGCCCGGCTCCCGGAGGCCGCCTACCTGGGACATCAAGGTGTCGCACGCCGAGGAAAAACCCAGGCCCACGGAGACTCCGCAGACATTGATGAACTGGTGCCGACGGGGACAGGCTGGTCAGGCGCTGCCCGAGGAGGGCCGCCTCCGGGCAAGGCCGCCCAGCAGCAGCTGAGACCCCTCCCGGCGGCCTGCCCGCAGGCTGTGTGCCATCTGGTGAGGGGCCCGTCCCCGCTGGGATGCAGCTGTCAGCCCCTGTGCTGGGTCTTTGGGGGGGCGGGGGGGGAGGGGGCAGGGGGCGTCCCTGAGTCCTGCCTGTACTCACGGCCACGGAGAGGGTCACCGAGGCCAGCTCCACTCTGCCCAGATGCCCACAGAACACCGAGCTCACGACATAGATCATGAAGGACAGCACCTGGAACAGGAACTGGACAGGGCAGCCTGGGTCAGGGGCGCCCGGCACAGCCCCGCGATCACCAGGGACCCGCAGAGTCCCTGAGCCCCGGCACAGCCCACACCCGGGAAGCTGTGTGCTGAGCCGGCCCAGCAGCCAGGGCTGGAGCCAGGAGGCAGCGCTGCTCCCGCTGTGCCCTCCACAGCTGTGTGGACCCCCGGCTGCAGGTTTATTGCCTAAACGTGCAGCCATGAGACACCGGGCAGGAGCCCGGGACTAACGCAAGCATTCGCCACTGCTGCCCATGCCATGGAACCATTGGCCAGGCCACATATAAACAAAAAGAGGAGGAATAAAATCCATCCAAATCTTAGCAATGGCCCTGGCCAGTGTGCTCAGTGGTTAGAGAGTCCACTTGCTCACCAAAGGGTTTCGGGTTCAATTCCAATCAAGGGCATGTACCTGGGTTGCAAGTTCGATCACCAGCCTGGTCGTGGTGCGTGTAGGAGGCAAGCAATCGATGTGTCTCTGTCACATTCAATGTTTCTCTCTCTCCCCTTACCCCCTCCTCTCCACTCTCTCTGAAAATCAATGGAAAAAATATCCTCAGGTGAGAATAAAAAAACAGTCTTAGCAATGACTATGTCCAGGTGGTGGGATTAAAGATGACTTTCTTTCTTCTTTATAACTTTTTTTTTTGTCTGAAACTTTTACAAGGAACACATATCAATTAGTTTTTGTGATAAAAAAAAAAATGTATCTGAAGACAGTTTCCTTTGTCAATAAAAAGGGCAGCGCCCGGCTGGTGTGGCTCAGTGGTTGAGTGTTGACCCATGAACCACAAGGTCACAGTTGGATTCCCGGTCAGGGCACATGCCCGGGCTGTGGGCTCGGTCCCTGGTAGCGGGCGTGCAGGAGGCAGACAATCAGTGATTCTCTCTCATCATGATATTTCTATCTCTCTCTCCCTTTCCCTTTCTCTCTGAAATCAATAAAATATGTAAATAAATAAATACATACATGAAAAGGGCAGCGGGCCCCCTTCCCCTGCACACACCTCTCAGGGGAGGCCTGTGGCTCCTGCATCAGTGGCTCTCACTTGTCACCGTGAGACCTCCCGCCCCCACCTGCCTGTGGGTTTCCGAAGGAGGACAGGAGGTCCCTGCTGAGCGTGGCCAGGCCCCACCTCTACCCCCGGCACCGTCCAGGGACTGCCGTCCGCGGTCACCTGCTCTGGGCGGCAGCCCCTGGTGCAGTCTGAAGGTGGCCAACGGGGGGAGTTTCTGGGGAAGGGTCGTGGGCAACCCCTGGCATACCCAGGTCATGCCTGGAGCAGCTGGCCCCGCCCGCCCCGCATGCCACCTCCTTACCAGGGGTCCAGACAGGACGAAGAGCCTCCACGCCTCAGCCCGAAAGCCCACGGGGACCAGCTTGCCGAGGGCAGGGCCGCAGCCCCCGCGCTCCGGGCGCACTGCGTCCTGGAGGCTGTCCATTCGAGCCCTGGCTGCTGGCTGGGCTCCCGCGCTGAGCACCCCCTTGGCCAGCCTCACTGGGCAGCCGAGTCACCTTGCAGCCTGGCTAATGAGTAAGGAGAGGGAGGAGGGCTGCCTTGAAGACCAGCTGTGGGGTAAGCCTCGCCTCCTGGGCAGCCCACTGGCCCTGGCCCCAGGCCAGGAAAGGGCAGTACAGAGCCCTGGCCGCCTGGGAGGCACCTGGGCTGACGCCTGTGGGGGCCTCGTGTCTGCTCTCCCCCCCGGGTCAGCTGCGAAACCTCGGAGGGGGGGCTTGGGGGCAGAGCAGGGGTGTGCTGGGCGAGGGGGGGCGGGGACCCTGGGAGCCTCACATGTTGGTGTGGTCGTGCCCAGATGGCACCCATTTCACAGATGAAGAAATGGAGACAGAGAGCCAGGCGGCAGAGCCCAGGCTCCAACCAGGTGGGCTGCCTCAAGAACCCTGCCCTGAGGAGGGAGGGTCAGGTGGGAGCCTGGGGTGGGGGCTGGAGCTAGGATCCCTGGGCAGAGACCCCTCGCCCTCCCTCTGCCCCCACCCCGTAGGGTGGCAGCCCTGAGAGCCAGGGGCCCCTGCCTGGGCAGCCAGCCCCCTGTGCTCGGCGTCTGCTTTGCTCAGTGAAGCAGTCACTGGGCCTCCTGCCAGGCTCCTTCTGCCCCCTGGTCTACAGTCTCTTCCCGTCTAAGAGGGTTGGTGCGCCCCCAGGACAAGCAGGCAGCCCACACTGGGGAGGCTCGCAACTGCCCCTCACCAGGCTCCGGCCTGGATGGGGCTTTGAAGTGTGGGCTGACCCAGGAGAGGAATGAGTGAGGGGCCCACAGGACTGGCAGGCAGGACAGCTGTCCTGGGGGCGGCGAGGCTCCAGACCCCCAGACACCCAGCCGGGGAGCTGCATGGAGGGAGGAATCAGGACACAAACAGGAGATGCTCATCACTCCCTCCCGTGGTGGCCGCCGTCTGAAAGGGTGACTGAGCCGTCACCATGGGACCTGAGCCGGGGTCCCTGTCACGTGAAGGGCCGGAGGCTGGCAGTGGTGCCTCCTGTCAGCTGGCACTGCCACGTGGGGACGTGCGTCTCCTCCCCGGACCCTCTGTGCAGCCCGGGCCTCCGAGCCGGCCTGGCCGGAGAGGAGCCACTCCAGGCGCCGCGGAAGCTGCATCCGGACTGTCGGCCAGAGCTCCGTGCGGCCAGCCCGGCCTCCTGCGGCCTCGGGGCCGTCACAGACACGCTCCATCCTCCGGCTCCACGCCTTGGCCCTGAGAAGGGCAGAGAGAGAGTTGCCCGCCTCCTGGGAGGCGCCAAGGACTCACCGTGAGGACTCAGAGCTACAAAGTCCTGGTCAGGGGGCGGGGAGGGCAAGGGGGGCAGGAAGTCACTGCAAGCCCCCTGCACACCTTGGAGTTAGGGAGACTTCCAACCCAAAGAGGGAGCCTGCTGGTAGCTGGTACCCATGCCTGGCAGCTCCCCATGCCCCCGACCAGCGCGGCGCAGGGACGGCCCTGCGGGCAGCTGACTGCCACGTCCGCCCGGCGCAGTGGAGCCAGGCCTCTGGTTCCTGGTTATTTGTTAACTGTTAGCTCCGTACCCTCGGTTACACTTCACCAACCCGGAGCCGTAGGTGTGCCCTCGGGCTCCCTGAGCCCCCCATCTCGGCCCCCCATCTCGCCCCCGCCCCCCCCCCCCCCCCGCCCGCCCCGGCCCAGGCCTGCTGATTTCTGGGTTTCAAAGCCAGAAAATGCCCTGAGGTTAGAAAACAGTGGCTCGGGCCTTCTGGAGGGCGTGTGGCTGGGCGGCGCTCCGGGTGGCGGGCACCCTCTGCTTCAGCCCGTCCTCCCGGGAGGGGCCTGTGCCAGGAAGTCGCCTCAGTTAACCTGCCGGGTGACCACGCACTTTGGCCGGGCCGGACATGGGGCGACGTCACTGCGATCCTCCTGGTGGCCTCGAGGTTTCCATGCTGAAACCTCGTTACCTTCTCTGTACCCAGTTTCTAAGCCGCCAGTCATCTTGCTGGAGTTTTCATTGGCTGACCACTGCTACCGACTGGTCATAAATACTCCCCACTGAGTTTGTCTCTACTTTGTAGAAGACTAATCCTTACTCGCTCTTTTTTTTTTTTAATATATTTTATTGATTTTTTTACAGAGAGGAAGGGGGAGGGATAGAGAGTTAGAAACATCGATGAGAGAGAAACATCGATCAGCTGCCTCCTGCACACTCCCTACTGGGTATATGCCCGCAACCCAGGTACATGCCCTTGAACGGAATCAAACCTGGAACCCTTGAGTCCGCAGGCCGATGCTCTATCCACTGGGCAAAACCGGTTAGGGCCTTTCTCGCTTTTTAAAAAAAGACAAAACATTCCTTTATTGATTTGAGAGAAACATTGATGTGTTGTTCCACTATTTATGCACTCTGGCTGCTTCTTGTATGTGATTGCCCGGGATCAAACCCACAACCTTGGCGTATCAGGACGACGCTCTAACCACCTGAGCTCCCCGGCCAGCACTCTGCCCCCAGGGGAAAGCCCAGGCCAGCTCTACTCACCGCCCCTCAGGCTGCCCCCTGGCTCGCTATGTGCAGCCTCCCTCCCCCGGCCTCCCTTCATCTGGCCTCCTCACCGGGCCTCCGGGCTCTGGCCTCCCTGCTCCCAGGCCGAAGGCTGCCCGCTTCAGTGTCCTCGAAAAGAGGCCGAGGACACTGTCAGCAGCTGGCCAGGGGAGCCGAGAGCAGCCCTCTCATGCTCGCCTTATAAACAGAGGCCGTCTGGGCTCATCTGGCCGTTTTGTTCTGTACCCTTGACGCTGCATCTTGGGGGCCTTGCTGACACTGAAGGGCCTGCCCCGCCCAGGGCTGGCCACTCCCAGGGATACAAACACCTCTGCACCTACCATGCCAACCAACCCCCAGGGCGTGCACGCCCAGCACCTCTATGTGCGCCCAGCCGGCTGCCCTAACCACGCAGAGCCCGCTGCCAGACACCCAGGCCGCGGCAATCATTCCAGCGCGTCCGTCGTAAACCGTTCCTTCCCAGGAAGGGACACGCAACGCTCTTGGCCACGTTCCCTCCTGACTGAGCCTGGGGCCCCCCACTGTGGCCCCCAGTGACATGGAGTGCCCCCTCCTCTTGGGGACTTAGTGAAAGAAACGATCTTTTCAATGGCAGTTGTCTCCTGATCTATTGCCCTTGTCATACCTGAATATTAACAAAAAGTAATAAAAACCTACATGTTAAAATTGTCTAGAAAAGGGAGGAATCCCTGCGTTACTCAGAGACCCAAAGCTGGTGATGAGCAGAGTCTGGGCAGCCGTGGCCCCTGGGAGGCAGCCTGAGTCGTGCTATCAGCCCTCAGGCCCGTGTTTTTACCTTCGTTCAAGGACACGCTCACCAAGGGAGTCCTGGGCAGCGGTGGAGGGGCCCTAGGGTGCGTGATGCACTGTGGGAGGTAAGCCCTTCATGAAAAAATGCAGTGCAGGTGGGGACAGAATCAAGGCCCAGGTGACAGGACGCACTGGAAAGGTAGGCCGCGTGTGTCACCGGGTGCGGGAAGCCAGAGACCGCACAGCTGTGGGCAGCTCCTCCGTGAGGCAGGCTGCGCTGGGGAAGGCTGGCCGGCTCTCAGCGGTTAGAGCATCGCCCCACGGACTGAAGGGTCCCGGGTCTGACTCGCGTACCTCAGGGGCACTGCCTTGGTTGCAGGCTCCATGCCCAGCCCGGGTCGGGAGGCGTGCGGGAGGCATCCAATCAATGTCTCTCTCACATCGATGTTTCTCTCCCCCCCCCCACTCTCTCTAAAAATCAATGGAAAAGTGTCCTCTGGTGATACAACAAAAATAATAACAAATAAAATAAAATTTCTGGGCGTGGCCTGGTCATTTGCATTTTTATTTTTAATTTATTTTACTTATTTCACAATTGCAGTTTACATTCAATATTATTTGGTATTAATTTCAGGTGTACAACATAGTGGTTAGACCTTCATAGACTTTACAAAGTGTCCCCCATTTGCAATACCCAACTGGCACTGTACACAGTTATTACTATACTAGAGGCCGATGCATGAAATTTGTGGAAAGGTAGGCCTTCGCAGCCCTGCTGTCTCGCAGCCCCATCCTCCACCCGCGCCCGCCTTGGTCTGGCCCTGCCCACGCCCACCGCCACACACCCCCAGCTCCCCAGTTCCACGGAGCCCTCCGATCGATCGCCCCACAGAGGGTGGGCTGGGCCTCCCTCTTTGGGGCGATCGCAGAGCTCCCCCCACCCATGGATCACCCCACTGGCCAGTGGCCTGGGCCTCCCTCTGTGGGGCAATCGTGGGCCAATGGCAGGCCCCCTGACCAATCGCATCGCACCCGCCTTGGCTGGCCTGGCACCAGTGTGTGTCATAGCGTGGTCGTCCGGATGGTCGTTCTGCTATTCAGCCGTTCGGTCGATTTGCATGCTACGCTTTTATTATTATGGATTACTGACTGTATCTCTTACGCTGTACTATTGTGTAACTACCAATATCTACTTCTCAATCCCTTCACTTTTTTCACCCAGTCCCCCATTAAGACTAATGTTCCCTGTAACTATGAGTCTGTTTCTATTTTGTTTGTTCCTTTATATTGTTCTTTAGATTACATGTATAAGTGAAATCATATGCTATTTGTCGTCCTCTGACTAATTTATCTCACTGAGTATAATACCCTTTAGGTCAGTGACGGTGAACCTTTTGGGCTCGGCGTGTCAGCATTTTGAAAAACCCTAACTTAACTCTGGTGCCGTGTCACATATAGAAATTTTTGCAACCATAGTAAAACAAAGATTTATATTTTTGATATTTATTTTATATATTTAAATACCATTTAACAAAGAAACATCAACCAAAAAAATGAGTTTGGTGTCACCTCTGACACCCGTGTCATAGGTTCACCATCACTGATCTAGGCCCATCCATGTTGTCATAAATGGTAAGACTTCATTCTTTTTATGGCCGAGTAATATTCCATGGTATATAT